TCCCGATTCTTAAAAGACTGCATTGAGAAAGAGTGGGCATGCTGAATAGCCTGAAAGAAAACAGAGGTATTAGAAAATATTCAAAGTATGAAATAAAGAGAAAGAAAGAAGAAAATTACCAGAAAGAAGACATTTACCTGAACAGAGTGCTGAAGCATTACAGCATAGTTCTTGTACTCACTGTACTGGGTGTTTCGCTTCAGATCGCCTGGAAGAAGCAGAGCGGTACTGAGTGTGACGCCGACGTTGATATCATCGGCACTATCACTTACCACGACAGGCTTGTCTTCCAGAGTAATTGTGGGGGCCCAGGGGGCATTAGGTTTTTTTTGATCCCGAGGTTGTTGCAGAAAAAGACCTCGGCTTTTTTGGTTTTTGGGATTCTGGTCGTTGAGACTCAGAGCGCCTCTTCCCAGCGGAAGGCTGAGATTTATCACTCTCAGCCAACTTTGAAATAGGCAAAGTGTCTTCAGACTCCACCTCAGCTATCTTAGCCTTTGGTTGAGCCTTTTTTATTCTTTTTGGCTTCGATGGAGGAAGGGTTTGTGTTGGCTGCTCATCAATAGATGATGGAATACTGGACAGAAGATCTTTTGCAACAGGCTTAGGGCGACCCATCTCGGTAGTAAGGACAAGTCGTCGCTGACATTTTCGTTCTGATATTGGGACCAGGTATGGAGCTGAAGTTGATGGCTGATCAGTTGGATCAGATGTTGATCCTTGATCTGTTCGTGATGTGGATGCAGTCAACGGAGCTGTAGCAGAGGGTGGAGAAAGGCTTTGTTTCTTCATTTTGGGAACATTGGGCAAAGTTGACTTGTATGATGGAATAAAATTGAGAAGCACAGGCGCTTTCCTTTTATGGACTGGCAAGTTCAGAAGTTTCTTCAAATCCTTGCTGGGGACAAAGGATTGGCGAAAATTTTTCGGTGGCTGACGAACAGCTGCAAGAAGAACAAACGTCAGAAACAGACAAAGTATTTAAGACTTCGAAAGAAAACAGGCAAAGATAAATACTAGGCTCTTACCCTTGCCCTCTAAAACTGATCGGGGAAGAGGGTAGAGATGAATGTCCTCGTCTGGAGCAAACTCCCAATTTCCCGAGGTAATGAGATAGTCATCTCCAGCCCCCTTGTTGGAGTCTGGAAGGTCGACTACGATTTTGAATTCTGTGGACCTCGGCTTAAGGTAATAAATGTAGCATTTTTCTTTCAAATTAAGAGCACACATGGTATAACAATACTCGATATCGGCTAGGGTGATCCTAGTGTTTTCCTGTTTAGCTAAGGCTATAACACCAAAGATCACTCGATATGAATTGATTGCTAGTTGCATGGGGTTCAATTTATAATAGTGAAGAATTTCATGAAAAATGATGTTGAGTGGGTGCCGGAGTCCGCACTCAATGAAAGCTACAATGGGAAAAGGCATCGAATCATCTGTGGGCATAATGGAGTCGTGATCTCCAGCCAGCCTCAGGTGGACATCGGCAGGGATAGAAAATTCTTGCCTAAAATACTCAAGTTTGGTCGGGGTATCTATCCTATGTCTCCACATACCCATGATATCGGCCTGAATTAGAGGGGTTGGGTTTCAGAGAAAAAATGTCACGAGAGGGTTAGTAAGACCTCGGCAAAAATCTAGGTAAAGTACTAGTTTCAGTTTTTCCTAAATTATGGGTTCTACACAACAAATCCCAAACCTAGATCTATGAAAGCAAGGGTTGAAGGCACGGATCTGGAAGACAGAAAGACAAAGACGTGCTTTAGAATCAAGAACAGGGATGGGCTATCAAGAGCATAAAGAATACGAGAAATAAATGATCAAGAATAATAACAAGAGTGCAAGAAAGTGGTGAACAGTATGTATTCAAGATATGGGCAAGATCAAAACCATTTGAATAAATATGTTCAGATATGTGATTTGCAAGGTTTGAAACAATAATGGCAACAGGAAATGAAGAATGTCAATAGAATTGAAAACACAAGGAACAGTGGCTTACCAGAAAAAAGTGAAGCCGGTATGAAGATTGCCGAAGTCAGACGACAGTTATGGATGCAACGAGAACGACGAAAGCTTCACAGAAGGGAGAACGGAAGGCAGTTGTAGAGCTTGAAGGCTGGAACAATGGTGTATCCAGGAGCTAGAGAGAGAAAAAGCGAAGAGAAATGGAATGCAAAAGTGAAAAATGAAGAAAGGGGGAAAGGTTTTTGTCAAAAATTTGAAACGGCGGCAAAAACGTAATCAATACGCCTAAAAGAACGTATGCGTCAGACGGCGCACGTGAGAGAGAAACGGCTTGCAAGCGCGTCATGAGCACGGTCCAGTAAGGTGGAGACGCCTGAATAAAACAGTTGAATTATGGTGTATGACAGCTCATACGCATGGAAGGGTTCTTGAAGTTCTTGTTCTTCAATAAAAGGATATCGGCCAAAATAATGATCTTGGCTGAGATACTGAAAACCGACGTACTAGAAAAACGGAATGATATAGGTTCCATCACCTCAGAATGCATATATATATATATGTGGGGATATATTTTCTGAGTACCAACACGTGGCAAGGTGACGCCGGCATGTCAGCCGAGGTGCCACGTGTCCTGGTCGTGACGCCGAGGTTATCTCGGCAAGGCCGAGGTTATCTCCGAAGATATCGGAATCCGAGATAAGAGGATAAGAGATAAGGGACAAGAGTCCTAGAATAAAGAGGAGATTTAGCCAAGATAAGGATAAAGCTCTTAGAAAGTTTATCTTTATCTCTTGAAGAGTCCAAGGTAAGTACTGAACAGGAGTCCATAGAAGTCAGGCTTCTAGTGGGACTAGGATTAAGTAAATTATAAAAGAGAGACGCTCTCGTGGGTCTAAGGTACGCAATTTATGCTTTGAGCAGTAAGTTTAACACTTAATTATCTTTGAAAGATATACTGACTTAATCGTCGGAGTGCCCCCGGGTGGAAGAGCCACCGCCGGAGCCTTTTCTTTCTGTTACAGGTTAACTGAAGTCATCTATTCTGTCGGTGCTTTCCAGCTGATTACTAAACGAGCAGTGTGGTAAAGAAAATTACTCAAACAATTAATCTGTAATTTTTTTAAAAAAATACATTGATATTAAACTTTTTCACAAAAAATTAAAAATCGTTAAATTGATGATTTGAAGTACGAGTTATGTTAGGAACCCCAAATATTCTATCAAATATTCTACGAAACCTCTTATGAAACCCATACACATGTAGATTTATGTAAATTTCACCCCATATGAGAGATTTAATAAACTATTTGATATAATATTTAAGATACATAACATTACTCTTTGAAGTATTGCATAATTGTTAAATTTGGACCATCATATTGTGGGAAAATCATGTATGATTATGTTATGAATCATGCATTACTTTTTAAAAAATATAAATTTATAAATTTATTTCAATGCAAGTTATTTTAAAATTAATGTTTTTATATGGCATAAAAAAAAATGGGTGGAGAAATTTTTTATGACATCTGGATTAAAAGTCAGTTTTTTGGTTTTTAGGGTCATATTATTTCTTTTATTTTTTTTACACGTTTTTTCAAAAAAAATTAAAAAATTAACTTTTAATTTACTTCCCAAAACAAGCCGTAATAAGCTGAGACGGGTTAATTTGCAGCTCTACTTTTTGAGAAAAAAATTTAATTATAATAATGATGTAACTTGAGGATCAAACTTGAGAGAGTATTTGGACTTGGTAGGTCCATTGTAAGCCCAATCTTAGTTATTTAAATTGTTCACTTTTTAATACTCGTTGAGAATAATATTCATATAAAAAATTAAAATAATTGAATTTTAGTAACTAAATATTTGAATCATATTTATCTTTAAAAAGTAAACGATTATTCTTGAAATTATATTTACCGTCTATTTTTTTAAGATAAATATAATTCAAATATATAATTACTTAATCTAATTATTTTAATTTTTTTACATAAATATTCTTTTTAATAGATATTAAATAATGAATAATTTAAATAACTAAAATTAAGCTTACAATAAGTCCATTAAATCTAATTCTCTAAAATTAAGGGATCGTTTGGTTTTTTGATTTGGGCTAAAAAATTATAAAAGGATAAAAAAAAGTCAAAAAATCACAAAAGAATAAAAAGACAAAAAAAAAATTGTTATTCCAAAGCCAAAAGACTAAAAAAGCCAAACAATAATACCAAACAACAAAAAAAGTCTTAAGTTAAAAAATTAAAAAAAAAATTAAAAAATTAATTAAAAAAGTCATCGCCAAATAAGCACTAAATTATGAATATGACAAAAGTGAAACCATGGGGCAATTTGGGGACTTGCAATCCCGAAAAAATCACAAAAAAAATCACCAAAAAAATCAATTTTTTTTTGTCAAAAAAGTCAAAAAAAATTTAAAAAAATCAATTTTTTATCAACTTTTTAAAAACACCCCCATTTCTTAAAGCGTTAGGGGCATTCTTTGGCTTCGTTTAAAAAGTGAGTTGACTTTTTAATTTTTTGACTTTTTTGACTATTTTAGTCTGGGCTAAAAAGCTTAGTTTAGGAAAAAAATTTTGACTTTTTAAAATTTTTTTTATGAAAAAAAAATGTAATGATTATAAATTGAATGTGATATTTTATCTATTATAATTAAAATAACCTATTTTATTTTTTATAATTTAAATAGTAAAAAAAAAAAAAAAATTCATAAACCAACTTGCCACACGGAGATTTGTCGCGCGGAAGAGTCAAGTCTTTGGACTTTGAAGGTTTATCAAAGAGGGAAGGCCCACGTATTGTTGTTGTGCTTTGCAAAAATTCCAAAATCGAGATGGGTTTCTTTCGGAGCAAAGTGAGGGTTCACACACTTTCTTTTAAGTAATACTATGGTTGATAAAAAAAATATCATAATTTTTATTTTTAAATTATACATATAATAAAATATCACATATTAATCGTATTTTATAATTTTTTTTTTTTTTAATTATAATCTCTAAGTATTACCCACCTTCTTATGCGCCACTCACTCCCCCGTTGCTCTGCCCTATATCTATTCGACATTGAGAGTTGGCTCGCGTTGCCCGAAGACGTCCTCACTAGATCTCTCTGTTTACACACTCTAGATCTCTCTGTTCACTCAGTCTAGATCTCTTGTCTCTCTGGATCTGTGAGTTGAGTTGAGTTGAGTTTGAGTTGGTTTGGAAATGGCGGATTGGGGACCAGTACTGATAGGGGTGGTGCTGTTCGTGCTGTTGACGCCGGGACTGCTGTTCCAGATACCTGGAAACAACAGACATGTGGAGTTTGGGAGCATGAAGACTAACGGTAAGGCCATAGCCCTTCACACTCTTCTCTTCTTCGCCCTCTACTCCATCATTATCCTCGCCCTCCATCTCCATATCTACACCGGCTGACATCCTTCATGTTCTGATGATCATATCCTCAGATCTCTGTGTTTTTTGGATGGATATATCTAGATTTGTAATGTTTAATCATCTCTCTACTGTTTTTTTTTTTTTTTTTTTTAATCTTCTTCTGCTGCTGCTGCTGCTTGTATAATAACACAACACAGATGAGATGTTTGAAAATATGCGTTTAATTAATTTACGTATTAATATGTTTATTGATTGAGTGCGTACGAAGAACTCAACTCTCTTCGCCTGAATCAAGACTAAATAGACTTTTAGGTAGTTTTGCCCCAAATGTGAAACAGAGTTTTAGGAGATCTATTATCAACAGCTCTGAAAAGAAAAGAAAGATACCGGCAAATTTCAACCATCGTGGCTTTCGGGTAAGCGGAAATCCAGTGAGTGGCAACTTCCCATGATCCGCTCCGCTATGCAGTAACAAATTCCTTTTTTCATTTTTTTTAATTAATTAATAGCATTGTTTTGTCGGTAATTTTATCAAGAGTGATGATATACTTACGTGGTAAAATAAAAGTTAGTAGAAAACATTTATCAAGAGGGATGATATAGAAATCCAATAATAGAGCTTACATGGTAAAATAAAAGTTAGTGTAAAACGTTACATCACAGCCAGATTCATTACAATTAAAACTTCATAATTTTTTTTTAAAACGCTCAATCATTTTTATTTTATCAAGGCTCCACTCCCATGTGGGCCACTAGATTGTGACACCTACTACCTTACTGATGAGTCATAGATTCCTTCTTTAGGACTTTTTAATTTTTTCATAGTCCCAATTATTTAGGGGTGGTTTGAAATGATTTAAATAATTATATTTTTTGATTTTTTATAAAATATGAATTGAGTATGGATTGAATTTGAAGTGATATGTTAAAAAGATGATGTGATTTAAATAGAATAGTGATTTTTTAATTTTTTTAAATCATGCCAAATAAAGCCAAACTCTCTTTTGATGAAAGGCAACAAAATAAGATCTTCGTTGTTTCAAATCCTAGCAAAATTTAAACAAACAAATAAATAAATGATTGGGTTGAGCTCCGCTCCACTCAAGGAGAATTGCTGTTGGACTTGTGGGATTTATTTGGGTCCATTTTGAGGGATTCAAATTATTATTTTTTAGAATTTGTGATTTGAACGTGTATTTATTGATATTTGATTAATTTTATTTTTTACATAACTTATGGTTTTGATAAATTTTATAAAATGAACGACTTGAATTTATGATTATTATTATGGGAGTGCAAAAAAATGTTTGACATTGTAAATTCTTATAATTTTTTAATATAACATATAGTTTTTGTTTGGCAAGGCAAATTGGGGTTATTGTAACCACTAGCGGACAAAAAAAAGCCAAATCAGCAAAAGGGAGACAAAAGCCAAGAACGTGCTTGGCAACAACCCATGCCACTGATCATTTACCAAACTACCCCCACCCATTCCTATGTCCTATCTGTTGAGAACTTTTTATCATTCACGTGGTGTGCCATGTTTGTGTTGTTTAAATTTTGAAATTAAATAAATAGATTTACGAAGAAATCAAATTATATATATACTAAGAACACATGCTAATAATTACAACTAAATTTCAACAGAAATACACAAAACAATAAAAGGGTAAAGAGACGAAACCGAAGCCTGCACGGAAGCAGTTTCCTTAAAACAGATTTCGCCGCCTCACTGGTCGAGTGCTTGAGGAATCCCGGCGTCTGTCTCCCAGGATACGATGGTCAAAACCAGCTACGACAGAAGCACTCTCTGTCTAGCTTAGCGAACAAACAGTGGCAGCACTCTCTCACTGTAGGAACTTTTAGGCAAACTGACTTGTGAAATGGAAGTAAAAATTTCTGTGTTTGAGACTTGACAGGAGGGTCTCAATTTATACATGTATAGGGGAGAGAGGACATTCACATTGTATTTTGATTTTCATTCAGATTTTTGTTGGATTATTTTTTAAAATTTTAAATTATAAAAAGGTTCAAAATTTATAATTTGAGATTTTCTCCATGGAATGCGGGAGAGATTTTCTCCTTAGCATAAGGGAGAGATTTTTTCTATGGAATAAGGAAAATATTTTCTCTTTAGAATGAGAGAAATTTTCTCCATAAAATGAGGGACTATTGTTATGTATTAGTTTCAAAATAAAAACATGTGCAAAAAATTACAATGGATGATTTGGTCATATTACATTAAATAAGACTTAATGGAATACTCAAAAAAAATATGGGTTAAATGGAATAAAATACTTAGAAAGATGATTTATCAAAAAATGACCCTTTTAAATTTAAAAATACATTAAAAATCTTATAATATTAATTATTAGAGTGCTGTTGGGTAACTCGAAAGTGAGCTGGCCCCATTGGCTCGAATGCCGAAACGACATCGTTTTGCCCATTTTTTTTTCCTTTCTTTTCTTTCTGAAATAAAGAGGCTAAAGAAGAAACAGAGAGAAAAAGAGAAGAGAGAATAATGAGGGGAACAAAGAAAGAGAGAACCGGAACTCCCTCCACCCACCGATGCCACCATCACCGTCTCAAACCCTTCCCCCCACCGACGCGACCATCGACCCTCCTCTATGTGTATACACAGATCTGTGTATACACACATAAATCTGTGTATAGATCTCTCTCTCTGTCTCTCTCTCTGTTCCCCCTCTCTTTTTTTCTTCTTTCTCATCTCCTTCTTTTCTCCCACTGGTGCCGCCATCACCGTTGCAAACCCCTCCACCCACCGACGCC